CTATAATCACAGCACTTGGGAGGCTGAGGCAAGAGGATTGCTGTGAGTTTGAGGACAGCCTGGACTACATAGTGAGTTCAAGGCCAGCCTGAACTACAGTGAGGGTCTCACTAAAGTGAGACCCTTTCTCAAGCAAACAAACAAAAAGTATAAGCCAAAAAAATATTTCAAAAACAGATAACCAGAATCTATATATGAAAGGCTTACGAGGTAAGCTAGAAGCGCTGACTCCTAACTCCAAGACATCCACTACAAGACAGTCATTACACTTAAACGTACCACAATTCCATCAGGTTGTTCAAAAGCATAGCTCAACCACTGTGTATTACAGTGAAGAATATAAAAGGGTAGAGTCAAAAAAGAGTATAGCATTTTCTCAATATTTTCTTTTGCTTTTATGGTACAGTGCCAGGGACTGAACCCAGGGCCTTCACACTGAGCTACAACTCCAGCCCCCTCACGTTTTTTTCTTTTTTAATTTGAGAAAAGTTCTCATTAAGTCACTCAATTGCCCAGGCTGGGTTTGAACTTGCAGTCACCCTATCCCAGCCTCCCAAAGTGCTGAGATTACAGGCATGAGCCACCGTGCCCAGCTCCTCAAAAAAATTAAACATAGAATTATCATATAATCCACTCACAGATATATGTCCAGAAGAACTGGAAGAAACAAATCATTATTTGTACACTCCTGTTTCTAGCATTATTACAATAGCCAGAAGGCAGGAGCAACCCAAGTGTTCATGAACGGATGAATGGATACGCAAAACGTGGTTCTGGCCTTAGGAGCTCCCTCAGGTTGGCCTTGTTTGGTTTACCCAGGGACTGTGACAGGTAACATGTGCCACAGACAGGCTTATGTCTTAAGCTGCCTAGACCGCCTTCATGCTTGGGAGCCCGTGTGAGAGGTTCGCAGCGTGCAGTGGACAGAGCGAGGCCCAGCATCCCCACTGATCCCCGCCTTCCAGTGAACCCACTAACGTGCCTCAGGGAGAGGAACCACCTTGCATGATACAACCCAAACAAGTCCCCAAGAGACTATGGCCTCATCCAGCTCTACAACCCGGTGGAATGGTGGCCTGGAGCACAGTAGAGGCAGCAGGGGTTGGAGACTGATAAAGTTCACATTTGCTGATTGTAGACAGTGTCTAAAAAGAAGAAAAGGATCAAGGATGACTCTAAGGTTAAACAACTGGAAGGAAGAAGTCACCAGGTCTCTGCCTCCCTTGAAAGAATTACATAAGCCCCACTGGGTGGAGAAAGTCTGAGATGCCCAGGAGATGTCCATGGGGAAATGTGGGAGAGACAGTCGGGGACTTGGATGTGGAGTTAAAGGCAGAGAGCTGGCATCTAAAGCCTTGAGAAGCCAGGCATGGCGGTGCACACCTGTAATGTCAGCACTTGGGAGGCTGAGGCAGGAAGATCGTTTTGAGTTTGAGACCAGCTTGCACTATAAAGTAAGCTCAAGGCCAGCCTGAACTACATAGCAAGACTCTGTCTCAAAAAGACAACAAAATTAAAAAATAAAAATAAAGTCTTGAGAGTTGACACCACCACTTGTACTTAAGTTGACACTTGCATCATGAATGTAGCTGGAGAGGGCAAGAAGTCTAAAAACTTCAGAAGACCACAGAAGACATGGGAGAAGAAGAGCCAACAAAAGAGGCCAGAAGAGGAGCAGACAACCAAAAAGGTAGAAGACAACCAAAAAAGCCGGAAGCCAAGAGCAACTCTTTGAAGGGTATTTTAAAGAGGAAATAAGCAACTGTAAAATATGGCTGAGAACCATGGCATTCAGTTATAGGGAGAATAAAGGTGATCAACACAGGATTATTTTTTCAGTGGGTAGAACTGAGAACTCATTAACAATGAATACTGGTAACTTTGTCAAGGAGTTTGGCCTTAGTGGAAAGAAAGGCAAGGAGGATGGGATAAGACAGGAGTAGAGGAGACAAAAGGAAGGAATCACAGAGTATGCACAGGCAGAAGGGTCAAGAGCCAATTAAATGGAAAGGAAGTCAGGAAAGAACAAGAAGCCAAGGAAAACTCAGAGGCCCAGCTTACATCACAAGGCAGGAGTGACCACTGTTAACAGACATAGATCAGCAAGGTTGGACAGAGACAGAGATGGGGGACCATCATGTTGGGTTCCAGATACGTCCCCTCTCCCTGCTTCTGACCGGGCTGTTCTTTTTTTCGTTTTTTTGTGGGGGTTTTTTGTTTTGTTTTTCTTCTGGTACCAGGAATCGAACTCAGACCTTGCACTTGCCAGGCAGGCGCTGTGTCGCTGAGCTAAATCCCCAGCCCCTGACCAGGCTGTTCTTGCTAAGTGCAGCAAGAAGGTTTTTGTTTTGTTTTTTTTTTAAACTGGGAAAACTAAATTTGGACAGGGTATTAAATAATATTAATGAGTTAATAATTTTGTTAGGTATAACACTGAGATTGTACATCTGCTGAAACTGTGTATTTGTTAAAGTAAAATTGTAGATATGTACATGTATCCTTTCTGTTTTGTTTTTGGATTTTGTTTTCTTGAGATAGGCTCTCACTATGTAGTTCAGGCTGGCCTTAAACTCACTATGTAGCCCAGGCTGGCCTCAAACTCACTGTGATCTTCCTGCCTCAGCCTCCCAAGTGCTGCTCGGCTCCCAAGTACACCACCAAGCCTGGTTGGGTATACATCTTTATGTGTTAGAGATGCCCACTGAAGTATCTGCAGGTGAGATAATGCAGCTGGGATGTGCTACAAGCCACTCCAGCAGGAAAGAGTTAAGTGAGGACAACAGAAGCCTCAGGAAGTGAATTCAGATAATCACAGCACCCAACAATCCCTGAGAATGAGCAGTCTGAGCTGATGCTGAGAAAAATGCTAGGGCAGGGATGGAGGGATAACGAACAGGGGCAGCAGGCCCAAGAATTTTCCTCAAGAAAACATCACCCTTAGAAGAGGCCAGTTTTCCTAAGGAAGCAGCTGGGGCTCTGGTCCCCCAACAGGACACTGTAGGATACGTGATGTCAACACCGAGCAAACTCACAGCGTGGATGCAAAGGGTAAAGTGCACTCACTCACCTGAAGCTGGGCAGCCAGCAGCCCGGGAGTCCTCCCTTTTCCCAGCAGGCAGTCTGCCCTGGGCATCCAGGGCCCACAGGAAGCAAACTAAGAACAAAAAAAGCTTCAGGAACGTCACCAGAAGTCCTCACGCTCCGACACAGTAGCGGCTCCTCTTTCTTAAAGGCATCAGGAATGAATCTGCCACAGAAGAATAGGAGGAAAGAACTGCAGGCTCCTTCCCAGAGCTGGGACGTAGTCAGGCTGCCCAACAGGCTGTTGTCCCTGAGCATGAGGTGGTCTCTCTGCACCTGTTACCAAAAACAAAAGGTGAGACCACTGGGCACGGAGTATACACCAGAGACTGAACCGGGCGCGGGATAAGACTGACCTCAGTCTATCCTTACAACACTCCAATGAAGCAAAAGTTGCTATCCTCTTGTATATGAGAACCTTAAGGTACAGTGAGATCAGTCTCATGGTCAATGTGATAGAGCTATCAAGTGACCACCAGTAGAAATCTGGCTGTGGAGACCGGACTTGAAGGTTGTAAGGATTCTCTATGTACCCACTTTGAGATAAACCCGGATTGGTCACGAGGTGGTTAAGTGTTCAACCTGGGTATCAAATCTGTGTAGTTCTACCTACTTCTGGCTGTCTGAAATTTCTCCATAATGAAACATTAAAGTGGCATTTAAAACTCCTGGTATTTTTGTGGTCAATGATTGTTGCCAGGGCCTTGAACAATCTCGGGAGTGGGCCCCACAGTTCGACTGCCTCCTCCAAGACGGGAACCCAAGGGCAGCCAGAAAAATTGAGACCCTAAGATCGTGCCACTGCGGCCACTGCACACCCAGCGAACCCGGGCTTGCTCGGCTAAGACCACCCCCCCAATCCCCGCTTCGGGGTGACTGGGGTCGAGGACCGCCAGCCCGCAGTCAACAAACCCCTGGGACTAGGGGCCCTAAGGACAGTTCCACCCACCGTCTAGACACTATCAGATCTAAAAGCCTACTTACTATTCAACCCCGCGCCCCAGCCCGGAAACTTGGCACGAACGGCTCCTCTCCCCAAGCCGCGACTTCAACTTAGGCCGACTCTGTGCCCACCCACAAGAATCTTCGGACAGAAGGCCTGAGCTTGGCACCCACCTACCACCTGGTTTCACGGCTGAGGTTCACCCGACTACCCCCAGACGCGCGCCGACACCCCTGAAATAAGACACTGGGGAGAGCGCGGCCGAGCCGCCGGGCGTCCCCACAACACTCCCCTGCGGCGCATCCGCCCCGCCCCGGGCTCCTCCCGCAGAACAGCCCTTTAAGACATTCCTTTCCGGGCAGAAAAGGGCATGGTTGCAGCAAGGTTCCCAAGCTGAAGCTTCACTCACCAGCGCCACCAAAGAACAAGGGGTCGCTCCAGCTACCAGCTGGGGACCTCCACAACAAGGCGCCGGGACTACACCTCCCAGGATGCTCCGCCCCGGGCCACATTTCCCAGGATGCTCGGCACAGCCGGAAGCGCGCTGCCTCTGAGTAACGCGGTGCTGTTTGCTAGGAGTCCCCACTGTATATCCCCTTCTTCCTCCTAAAACCACATTCATAAAACAGAAAGTCATCCAGGTAAAGCTCCTCGCTCTGCTGTGACCCTCTCGCTCAACGCCTCTGCTTCCAAGACTATATTCCCCGGTGACCCCCGCAGTAACTTCCACATCCGTTGTCCCGGGGCTGGAGATTCAGCTCAGCGGCACAGCGCCTGCCTGGCTAGCGCAAGGTCGTGAGTTCGATTCCCGGTATCGGGAAAAAAAAACAACAACAACAAAGAAACCCCCCACATCCGTTGTCTCGCTCACCTCGCGGGAGCGGGAATTACGTTTCAGGGGCACTTCTTTTGGCTCTAAGGGTAGCCGACTTCTGTGGCTACCTGACTTAACTTTATATTTGGCTGGTCTCTGGGTTCGCACCTCTTACACCAGGCTTATGAGACCATACTCTGAAACCTAGCATTTTCTGGGGTCCCCTAAATGCTTTTTCGTGTTACTAGAATCTAGGAAGTAACAGCTTATCTTCATTTCCTGGAGACAGAAGCCTCAAACATAGACCGTGACTTGGAGCTGCACCTGGTCACAGCTCTTGGCCTGGTTCCACAGATCTTTGTTCAGGATCCTGGTCGAGAACAAGGCTAAGCAGCAATTTGGAAGCTCAAGAAAAGCAATTTTTCATTCCCAAGAGGGCTTTTTCTCCTGGGGACTGTCCTTCCACAGATCAGCTGTGGTAAAATGTAATATGATACTGCATCCTTCACCAGGAAGACCAGAGAAATGACTGCATGGCTAGGAGATGCTAGGGGAGATGAGACTATCCTCAAATTACTTAGCTCTTGAAGGATAAATCTTTTTCTCTTCTCTTACTTCAGGCAGCATCGTGAATTCAGTTCAGTTCTGGCCCAGAAGTGCCCAGTCTTATGGAGCCCATTCCTTGACACCCTTCTCTGCTCCACCCACTCACTCACTCACCAAGTCACTCAACCTCTCCTTTTAGATCTCCGATTATACACGTTAGACCATTTGATATTGTCCCATTACAGGCTCTGTCCAAATTTCTTCAATATTTATGTCAGATTTCTTAATCTCTATTGATTTGTCTTCAAGTTTACTTGACCTTAGAAAGCCAGGACCAAAATATTGGCTACCTTTTAAGCACAGTTAACTTTTCTGTTTTGTTTT